CCACGACGACGACGACGACGACGATTGGAGCGAAGAGGCTCTGAGCACCGAACACACTGTTGCTCATCTCCTGTGCCTGCATCGAGGCCTTGCTTTCCTGACTCCTCCTATATACTTTTGCCATTGCGAAGACCCAAGACTCACTGCAAGTATTGCGTGCTACCGTGACATTGCAGTCTCCGGTTTGCAGCCCAGCTTTCTGTCTGCTAAATACGGAAGTCTTTCTAGCCAAAGTGATTAGCTTGCTAGCCGAAGCTGAACTGTGCTTTACGATGTGTGCTCTCCATTCCAATTTCATGTTCGAGAGAGGGCTGGGGCTGCCGGGTTTGGGTTTTCTGTAGTGCCAACGTTCCCTAGACTGCGTCCGCATCCCAGCACTGGCCTCCAACATATTGGCGAGAGATGTCCTTGGCACCGAGGCGGAGTGGCACACGCAACGTTGAATGTTGATGACTTCCGAAGGGAATCAGTGTGGGCATGCGTGCGTGGGTAGGTGTATATATGTCTGTGCGTCTCGTTGCTGCGGGTGTATGTCCGTATGTATGCATGCACTGCTCATGTTTTGGAGTTCTATCAAAGTCTACGCTGGTGGTATTTAGACAGAGTTACCCCAGACGCTACAACCCTAAGCGCATGAAGACTGTCCCGCCCTTTCTTCTGGGATGCCAGCAGCACCAGAGCCGATGCGCCTCGGCAAGCTCTAGAGTAGGGTGAGATGCCCGGCTGTAAGTTCAGGCCCTGCCGACTCGCACTCTGTTTCTGGCCCGCCTGAAGGGTTTAGGGTTTAGGGGTAACTTCCCCGAACGCGAGCAAAAGGCCTGCCCACGAGCGCCTGGCTTTCCGTGGTCTCAGGCCCGAACAACCCAAGTGGCAGAACTCCTCGCCCGTGCCTGCATGGCATCTGGCTTTCTCAGGTACAGTACGGGCGATTAAGGTCTCAATTCAAGAACGGAACAGAAAGAGAAAGAGAGAGAAAGAGAGAGAGAGAGACAGACCGGGATAGACAGAGATAGCTAAATAGATAGGTAGACAAACAGATAGACAGATAGATGGATAGGTAGATAGATAGATAGACAGCTATGCTTGCGTATAAATGTGTAAAGGAACGGAAGCTAGGTTAGATATCGAGACAAGGATGCAAGAAAAAGTCTAGGGAGGCGTGCAGGAAGGGAGCACAAACGGCCTTTGCACTGCACGTGCAAAACTGCGTTCCTCTAAACCCTAAGCCTTGCAACTCCTACAACTCCAACAGTTATCTGAAGGCATGCACCTTCTGCCAGGGAAGATTCGGTGTCCTCGGCCGGGAGCTCAACATCGTAGTGTCATCAACCCTCAAGTTGAGGGTTTACGGGTCGCCTAACACTTTCCAAGGGCACTAAGACTAGCGATATCATGGATTGAAGCAGTGTTCGGGAACTCAACATTGACTCTCACATCCCGAAGGCGCACTGGGGCGTCGTTACTTTGCCGGCTTTAGAAGGAAGACTGACGGCAGCGCACGGCCTTGTCCTGAACTTAGAGCATCGCTCGGAATTCTACAAGAGGTGTCCGGCTGCGCGAAGCTAACCCGAATCTGAATACCCGTGTTTAAGGCAGGTAACATCATCCCCACAGCTTTGCTGATTCACAGCCTTGTCTGAACTCTGAACCAAGATGAACGACGCCCACTGGACGAAGTCACGGACTCCGCAACCCAAACCATCAAACAAACCTAAGCTCCAAACCGAACTCGGAACCTGAGTCTGAGGATTGGGCCTGACTCTGCGGATATTATGGTCAAAAAAAATCAGAAAAAAAAGCACCACAAGTCCGGGATCAGACTCTAAGGCCCTGGCCCCATGGCCAGGAAAAGTGGGATCGATCCACCAGCGGAAATGCTGTCAGGGCAGGCGGCGAGTGCTTTAGGTTTAGAAGTTTAGGGCTTATGCTGTTTCAGGGCTGGCACTTGAGGAACATGAGGAAATCCAGACTAGCAGGATCCTGACAACAATGGACATTACGACCAGGTTATCCATCCTAAGCTTGAGTTGCGGCTAAGCATGTACGCAACACTCATCTCTGCTTCAGCCATTGATGTTTAAGTGGACAACAATGGCATCGAGAGGAACTGCCTAGCAGACTGTAACAAGGACAGCACCCCTGGCAGAAGCGACGATTGTGATTGCATGAGGCTGAAGACAAACCGCACTTGGGCGAGCCCAGAATACGGCTCTGTACGATATGTGCATATTATTCACGGGGTTCTGCAAATACTACTGCTACAACAACAACAAC